GTATTAGCAATTCTTTGGAGTACAACTTACTAAAGCATAACCCATAGTGCTTGTTGGAGTACAGAATGAAAGTGTTTCTTTCTCTTTTTCTTATTTTTTGTTTATTTTTACTGCCCTGAAGTTAATTTACTCTGGAATTTAAGGCTGTATTAAAGGCCTGCTTTGTCTTCTGAAATACATATCCAGAGGCAGTTTGACATAAGGTGTAACTGATGAGAATTAATAAGGTATTAGTCCTGTGGCACAGAGGGCAGTGTGTTAATTTGCTCTAGTATCATACAGAATTTGACCACTAGTTTACAAATCAACTTTGTTCCTTATAAAGAGAGTCTAAAGCTGATCTAACCTCCCTATCTCCCCAAAGCATTTACTCCTCTCTGGAATCTAGTATTTTAGTTACAGATGTCGAGGAACACCACGGTGTAGGGATGAAGAGATTAAAAGGAACCAGCAAAGAAAACTGGGAAGGAGATGTCACTGAGGCAGGAAGAGAGTTGGGGTGCCATGTCCTGAAAGCCAACTTCCTGTTGGATTATTTATGTCTCCAGTTATTCAGTTTATTTCTTCTTTCATTCAACACATATGTATATAAGACCCATGTGGTTAGAGCTTCCCAGTGGAGATGAGCTTTCAGGAGTGAGTGGAAGACATGTTACATAGGGCCTTACAGTCCTGGGAAAATAATTTAGATTTTATTCTGAGTATGATGAGACACCACTGAAGGGTTTTAAGCAGAGGGGTAATAGGACAATTGTTAAATGTATGAAAAGTGGGTCAGAGGGGAGAAAAAGAGGGACGGGGAAGACCACTGGGAGGCTATTGCAGTGGTCCGGGTGAGCAGGAAGGGTGCTTAGTCTTGGGTATTAGTCATACTGGAGATGGAGAAGGGAGACTGATTCAGAAACTGGCAAGGTATGTCTCACTGATCCTACTTCACATTCCACCAATAGGAATATGCAATATATAGACTTTAGCCTATTAAAGTTTCTGAAAAACTGCAGCTTAAAAATAAAAGTTTACTAACCCAATTTCCCAAGCTTCCACAAAACTCTTCTTATCCTGAAATACCTATTAATATCCTGAGAAACTAGTGATCCACATTAGGAAGTACTGGTGTATAGATAGAGCATGGTTTTCTAAGGTTTATATTATTTTCTCTCTTCTCATGAACCATCTATTAGTAATAGTCTACCAGAACTAGTGTTCTGGGGAGCATCCTTTGAGAGATTTTGCTTTAAGGTAGCGTGTGTACCCCTCTTCTGATCCAGCATGAGTTCCTCCAGTTGAACACTCCAAGGGAAGTCCCCATTCTTTGTTTCTTTGGAACACTTCATAATGCAGTAGTTCCCCCTTATCCTTAGTTTCATTTTCTATGGTTCTACGGTCAACTACAGTCTGAAAATATTAAATGGAAAACTCCAGAAATAAACTGCATGAATTTTAAATCGCATGCCATTCTGAGTAGCATGATGAACTCTTTCACTGTCTGTTTTGTACCACCCCGGACTTGAATCATCCCTTTGACCAACGTATCTATATTGTATTTGTTACCCGCCCATTGTCACTTAGTAGCCCTCTTGGTTATCAGATAGACTGTCATAGCGTCACAGCACTTGTGTTCAAGCAACCTTTATTTTACATAATCGCCCCAAAATGCAAGAGTAGTGATGCTGGCAATTCAGCTATGCCTCAGAGAATCCATAAAGTGCTTCCTTTTAGTGGAAAGGTGAGTGTAGAACAATAAGATACGTTGAGAGAGAGAGAGAGAGACCACATTCATATAACTTTTATTACACTATATTGGTATAATTCTATTTTATTATTAGTTATTGTTGTTAATCTCTTACTGTGCCTAATTTATAAATTAAACTTTATCATAGGTATGTATGTATAGGAAAAAACAGTACATACAGGGTTTGGCACTCTCCACAGTTCCATGCATCCACTGGGGGCCTTGGAATGTTTCCTCTGCGGATAAGAGGGGACCGACTATAAACCCCTATTTACCAATGACTGGTGTTTAATAGATCTGAATCATTCTACACATAAGTTGTTATACACATAAATCTTTGAATTATCATG